CCTCCCAAAAGGACCCCTCTCCCTCGTCCATTCTCAGGTTTCACAACTCTCACACACTCGACTCACCCTCAGTCTTACTGTCCGCACTGGGACCCACAGCCGGCCCACCTATCTCCCCCACACACAGATAAAAACTCTCGGGTTATCGCCGCTCGCTAAGCGAGGGGTCCAGCTTCCTTGAGTCTCCTGTCCAAATGTTTTGATACACCCCGGCCAAATATTTACATGACACTTCAGCATTGGTATTTGATGGCGCTTGTTCGAACAAAATAGACTTCCTCCAGCCCGGTTTTCTACTACACTGTACACCCGGGAAAACGGGAGAGAAAAAAACAACAACCTATGAGTCCACACGGAGGTAACCTACTATTTCAAAGTCAAATAATGCTTACTTATCATTATGGTATTCTGCTTTTGTTTCTGTTGTCAATCTTTCAATTCTGGGCCATTTCCATCTACGTATATATAGAAAAAATACCACGTTCTTTACAGAGAGATTGAAACAAATCCGTAATATATTCTTAAACGAATAAACATTGACACAGGTATCTAATTACATCTCCTAAAACTTCCCCAATTTAGCAGAAGAGTATATTTGTCGGCACAGCACTGAAGAGATTGAAATAAAATGTACTTATAGACGTATACGTTAAAGTGAAGACCAATAATGTGACGAACATACCAAACAAAATGTGACATAGCCCTCACTGACTGAAACAGCTGAATTATAGATTCGACCACCAACCCCCCCCCAAAAAAAAAACAAACGTATTTAATGCTCATTTGTTACCATACACACAGACAACAGCTTCATACAAACTGTCTAAAATTGAAATAAAATCATAGCAATTACCTTTCAATTCACAAAAATTGGTAGAAATGTCACAAAACTTCCACAAACGCACGAGAGCATAATTACCACCACACTTGAGAAATAAAGATACTAACGGCAAAATCCAAAAGAAAGCGAAGTTGAATCGCAGGAAGGTAAAAAAAACAACAAAAAAACACAAAAAGTATGGAGAACTCGACACACGACACACTGGAGATGACGCGGGGGCGGTGGGCGGGTGTCTGTGGCACACAGGAGGATCTCACGGGGGACAACTGACAACAACGACAGCAGCAGCAGCTGCCTGGACCTCGCTCTAGCCCGAACGACTTCACCGCTGGCTGGCAGCAGGACTACAGACGGGCGAGAAGGCCAAAGAGCGCATGCCGTGTCCACTCACAGAAGGTCAACGAGTGCGTGCCGTGTCCACTCACAGACCGGGCCAAAAGGTCAACGAGTGCATGTAGTGTCTGTCCACCCAGACCCGAGGCACGGTCACCGCGATATTTTATATACACCGGACGATATGACGCCACCGCCAACAACGAACCAGTAACTCGCTCTGTTCATCCAGCCAAACACACAACGCGAAGACAGAGACAAGTACCCCCGACGGCGACTTGCAACTTGAGAATTAAATAATTAACACAACACAGAAATCCGAATTCAATCCAGCGACCGAAGTAAAACAGCCAGCTGACCGGTACGAACGAAAGCTTCTTCAATCACGACAGCTTCTTCAATCACCACAGCTTCTTCAATCACGAAAGCTTCTTCAATCACGAAAGCTTCTTCAATCCAGTAGCCGACGGAAATGGTCACACTCTTGCTGGACACTTCTAGATCACTCCCGTGGTAACTCGGCGTGGTAAGATGTTCTTTCGTTCTTATCTATCCGTGTGTTGCGTTCGTCGTTGTTCGTTTCGACAAGTCAAAGGACGAGGGTCCTTCCTTGGGGAGTGTCTATCTTGTTGGCTAGAGAAGGAGGAGGTGGAGGTGGATGAGGAAGAACAGACGCGGGGGGTCCTCCAGAAGTGGTCGTGGTGAGGGTGGACAACTGCTCGTCACGGAGCGCGTCCTCTCCGCTCTACACAGAAGCCGACATCCTGCCTCCGTGTGTGTGTGTGTGCGTGTGTGTGAGTGTGTGAGTGAGTGAGTGAGAGTACAGATGAGAGCCGGCGGACGGCGGGTGGGTGTGCGCGCTTGCCGGGGCGAGGAGCCACGACTCTACCTTTCTACCTCTGCCTCCCGGACACACCTACCTTCGCTTGGCTCACTCGCTCACTTCACTTCACGCGCCCGCTCTCTCTCTCTCTCTCTCCCTCTCCCTCTCCCTCTCTCTCTCTCTCTCTCTCTCTCCCACTCCTACTGAGCACTGAGCGTGGCACGCGACGCGAACACACTCGCGCGCGCAGACGTGCGCTCACCCCACCGTGATAGAGAGACGGACGGAGGCAGAGTGAGAGAGTGAGAGACAGAGGGAGAGGAGAGGAAGAGTGCGGGAGCAAAAAGACACCGGTAACGCTCTCACTCACTCCAGGCATCAGCCTACCTGTGGCATCATCCACGCAAAAACATGGACAGCTTCGCTCC